ATAATTAATGTTTATCACATCCTTTTGCACAAAATATAATTTGCTTTTATTTATACATATATATTACCTTAAAAAGCTATTCAAATTTAATATTATTACTATTTATATAATTATATTATTCATAGATATATAACGTTCATTGTATGTTAATAATCGATATAGAGTTTTTTATAATAATTTATTTTATTATAATAAAATGGATGGTATATACGATATGTTTATATATTATTTCTTATATATTCAGATGGTATAATGTAATAATAATTCTAACTAAGTAAAATGTTGTTTAATATAATTTAATAGTAAAATTCGCATATATTATATATAAAATATATGAATATAAAAAAAAAAAAACTTATTTAAAAAAAAAGTATGTTTTATGAATCAAATAAATGATGTATTTTGTGCTCAAGTCTTTCCATTTAGCTAAGAAGCTTACATGTAATTAAAATTTTCATACATTATTGTCATATATTAGGGGAAACCTAATTTAGCTTGTAAAAAAAGATCATGTGAATATTATAAATATCTTTCTAAGAAAGGTAATCATTTTTCATCATTTATATTTGATAATTCAACATACATTTTTACATAATCATATATAATAGAATAGTATGATATATATGTAAATGTCTTAGTTCAGTGTCATTAAATAATTACATAAATGAGATGTCACTTCGTAAAAGAAAAAAAATTATATTTACGCAAACTATTGAATATAAAAAAATGTAAATATATGAAATGTATATATTTTATGTTAATTCATTCTACATGAACGAATTAATTATATTATTAACATTACCTATAATTTCTACTGAAGCATTATTAAATTATATTCTCTAATAAATCTATATCTTTTTTATTATATTATGAGCATAATTTAATATTTATAAGAAAATATTAATAGAAATAAATTTAAAAGCATTTATATTCTCCTTTTTATGTTCTATTTAAATGGAATAACTTCTTGTAATTATATATTTATTTCTGTTACTGTGCAAAATTATATAAGAAATTATATCCACTATTCCGTGAATTATTTTCATATGTATCTCATGACTTCTTTGTATCACATTATTCATATGTATTTTTAAATACATCTCTTACCCTTTTTATAGCAGGTTCAAAGTATGAACCATAAGGAGTGAACTAATAAAAGAAAACATGTTAAATTGAAAATATAATTTTTTTAAGGATATTTATATTTTTTCTTAATCTATTTTAACAATTATTTTATAGAGTAAACTTATATATTATTTAACTTATATAAAATAAGCAATACACATGTTAATAATAATATTATTACAGCACGAATTTAAGAGGAAATACTAATTTTTTTCTTTGAAGAGCAGATAATCTTTCGGATAAACTTATTTCATAGTCACTTATTGATTATAGATGATTAAATTTTGTTCTAATATTCATTATTTCTTTATTTAAATCAGATGCACGCTTTGATTTATGCGCATTCATTAGGAGATTGTATATAATTGCACACCTGACACAGCTCCATTTATTTTCAACACACTAAAATTAGAATTTTCTATACTATGGATTCCTATATTAATACCATATATACCTATGAGTGTTTCTAATTCATCATAAGTATTATTTATTTGATTATTCACAAGAAAAACATTTAAATAATGGACATTATAAGCTATACTGATGAATTTATAATAAATATTCTTGATCTCTCTGTTATCAGTTCCATTATTTAGTTTATAGTTATGTAGCCAATAATGCATATATATGAAAGGATCTGATTGCAAAGATGAATTATTTGCTAATGTAAATATTTTATATAAATATCACATAGCTTCATAAAACAAATAAACAGCATTTGTTTTAAAAATATTACAAAGTCCTCCTTTAATTTGCATTCAGGCATTCTTCCAAGTTTCTTTGTTGTTAAGAAAATTATTCATGGCACTATCACATTCTGTAATTAATGAATATAAAGATACAGACTAAAAAAAAAATGTAATATTATTACAAAAAACATATCCTTATGAAACAATTTATATAAAAATAATGGAAATTGATATGTACTTTTATTATAATATTGCAATAGATATGATAATAATTTTATCCTAAAATAGATTTTGCCTTATTGAGTATGATTATATGCTTTTTCAAATTAGTCTAATAAAATATTGTTGCTTACTAGCACATAAATTACTAATTTTAAAAAGAATCGTACAAGGTACTAGAAAATATTATTTTCTGATTATTAAAATTATACAATTGATGGAAAAAAAAAAAATGAAATGTAAGAGTCATTAATTTTTATTCAAACTATAATATGGTACTATTTGTGATATGTAGTATGTTTTATTAATCATATTAAGAAATATATGAAAAACATAAACATAATGCTTAGTTAAAAAGAAAATAGAATTCTCGGTAAAAATTACGCATAAAAACATGGTGTATATATAAGGGTTAAGAGTTCATGATTTTAGTTTTGACAATTAGTTTTTTCTTTTTATGTATTTCCAGCATATTTTAATTTTTTATATTATTTATTCAAGTGTATACATAATATTAAATATATCACAATGTATTATTTATATAATTGTATTTTGAAAATAAAAAACGTGTTACTTTTTAATATTACTGGGAATATACAATTATATTATTTTTCTAAAATATATAAAAATAAAATAAACATTATTAACTTTGTTAATTAAAATATACAATTTATTATTATACAGTATAGGTTTCTTTTATAAATGTATTGAATATTATATTAAGATTATGATTACAGATCCTTTTGATATAAAAATCAGTATATTTATTTTTATTATCTTTGTCTGAAATTTTATTTAAAGCCTGTACCAGATGTTAATTTTTGATTTCTTTTTAGCGTTTTATTTATTATTGTATTCTTATAATATTTTAATAAATTTTATTTATTATATTTGTTACACTTATTTTCTTCTATTACATATGAATAAAAATGTTTACTTTTAATTATATAAATATTCAATGAAAATAATTAAGTTCTTTTTATTTAATTATAAACACATTTTTCAATCGATTAATAAATATAATTATTGATACAATTATATAATAATATTTAATAATTATGCTATTATAAATAGGTTATGTATTATCAATCTATTATTTTTCATGATTATATTTAAAATATATATTTAAAATTTTTATTATGCTTATACTAGAATAAATTAAATTTATATAAATCTGCAAAGACATTAGTGTATTATTATTATGGAATTATTGTTACATAATATAGAAGTATATCTTATTTTTAGATGTTTTTCTAATATTACTAACATATTTAATACTTAAATTATATGCTAATTCTTAATGTCTCATTTCTAGTTATTTTTCAGAAAACACTTACTAGAAAATTGTTCATAAGTAACAAATAGGATGAAATCATATTACATGTGAAGTTTAATATATTCTTAGTTTGTAATGAAAACATAATTATAAAAGTAGAATTATATTTCAAGGTTGGAATAATTTTAATACATTATAATAATGTATAATTCGTAACTCATGTATTTATCATATTTAATGTTTTGCATAAATGCAAAATTGTATTTAAATTATATTCTACCATTGAAAAATATGGTTTCATTCTTTATTATTTCATTTTCATATATATTATTATATTTTTGATTTTGTTAAATATGGAATTATAACTAAGTATGATCGTTAATCATTATAATATATAAATAGTATATAAAAATATGTGTAGTATATGGTAGATATATATTTTATAAAGCATTCAAGGTATGATATTTTAATATAGTATAAAAAATATATGATTCCATGATATATATAATTTTTAAATAAACACCAAGATACTATATAAAATAATTAACAAAAAAATACTATTTTAAAATGTACAATACAGTGAAAGTGCAAAAAATATATTATATAACAGCAGAGGTTTATTTTTGTACAACATGTAAAAAAAATTAAAAATTTTACTTTATTATTATAAAACTAAATAATATCTTATTTTTTTATTATCCTTTATATTTTCCTTAATTAATATGAAAATTATTGTTAACTTGCAAAAATAATACCCATTTTTTTGGACAAATTATTTTTGCATTTTTTCAATTATTTGCTGAAAGGCCTTGGAGAGATATACTCTAATTAAAAAATAGTATTTAATGATTATCAATGGAATAAATATATATATAACTAATTTAGATAATTAATAAAAAATTTTTACAGTATTAATATATAATAATTATGAATCGTATTTTTTATTTTGGACTCCATTAAAATTATGCATATATATTTTAATTTGTAATCATTCTACATATTTACATGCACTAAATATATCCTAATTTTTATAGATATACATTGTTAGCAAGTACATATATTTTGCAAAACATTATTGTGCTAATTATATTGTTTATTTCATTTCTTTTACCCTTTCTTTTTGTTTATATTATATTAGTTCGAAAAAAATATAAAATATCAACACAATACTTTCATGAGTTGCACATATATGATTTCGCCAAAAAGAAAGTATAACAATGATAATATTTTCAATATTATTTCAAACAAATAAATTATTATATATATGTATTTACAATCAGAAAAATGATATTCGAATATTATAGTATAATTTTCCTCTAACAGATAATACTTTGTTCTGTGAAATTTAGTGTGAGTTGAAAACACAATGCATGTATCTGTAAATCAATTATTATAGTGTACCATAATTTTAGTAAATAAGGATATGTTATATATGTATTTAATTTATTCTATTTTTATATTATAAATATGTTTATTCTTCCTTTTGTATTAAAAATTCAAAATTGAATTTTCATATATTATGGCATTTAACTAGGTATTATAGACATTCTTTATTATCTATTCAATATAATATCATATTAATATAATTATATTAATTTTTTACAACAGATTCAAATGTTATATTGTGTTTATTAAAGTTAAATAAATTGGATCCATTAACTAATATTACTTATTTATTGGATTTTGCTAATTTAACTATATGCTATTTTATACATATCATCTAAAGAATTTTTGTATTCAAAATCAAATGTGTCCATAAGACCAAGGTTTTTCTTGTTATTTTTTTTCAACACCCTTCTTAATTTCCTTACCCTTGGTTTTAAAAACGAAAAATGAGGGGTATACTGAATAAAAAATAAAATAATATCTTTATTTATTGTTTATTTATATTATATGTATATTTTAAAAATATTTCTATGATAAATTATAATACAACATAAATTTGTTATATTTATTTTGTTTTTAACTTTATACAAAATAAACATAATTATTAATAAAGAAAAAGTTATAAAAATCATTCCAACACTTATTCCTGTGTGTGTTTCCACGTCTACCCCAGTGTGCATTAAGACTTTAGGTCTTAATACATTGGTTTTCAGTGTTTCTCCGTGTCCCTCATTACTCTTTTTTGCTCCCGCATTTTCCTCATTGATTTTAATTCTTCTTTCTTCTATCCATTTATCATATAAGTGATATGAGGCATGCACGCCAGTCAGTACAGTCTTCCAATTTTTTTTATAGCCTTCACATCTTTTAATAATTTTTTCGAGTTCTAACTTAAGTTGATTTTTATACTTATAAAGATGTGTTTCTAATTTTTCTATGGAGCTTTTAAATTTATGCATATTTGTAGTGGTCCTCTGAATTGGCTGAGTTTCAAAAAGATTAATGTACTTATATATTTCAAAAAGATTTTTCATTATTTTAAATGTATCATTACCAATATTGACAAAATGATCCAAACATATACTAGATATTTGAGTGTCTAAATTATCTCTTCTGTATTCTGTCATTATCCTATAACAATTTTCAGAACCAGTATATTTTAATGTAAAATTATCTATTATATCTTTTTTTAAATTATAATAGAATAATTTACAACACCTTTGCGCATGTTCATTTTTATTTGTTTCTATATGCTTTAAATATAAACCAAGAACGCGACATAGTTCTGAAAATTCTGTGGATCTATTTTCAGTTGTTAATTTTAAATTAAGGCCACTACACAAAGTTGTGAATTTATTAGCATCTCCCCGACCTCTAAATGCCCCTGTATCCCAGTCGAAACCATCTGTACATTCGGGAAATATACCATTAAAATCGAACTATAAATCAAAGTAATAATATGAACAAAAATTATTAAATTTTTAAGAAAAAAATTTGGCTTTAATTTTTAATAAATATGACATTTTAAAACTATGATTATTAAGTTTGTTTTTATTAAACATTTAAATTATACGTATTCATCCTCTGATTTAGTGTCACTAGACATAATTTATGTATCCTATAAAGAAAAAAAATAAGTTTTACACTTTTTATAATAAATTTTTATTTGTTAAACATATCAGGGTAAATATTATATTCACATCACATATTATAACACATATGATGTTATTTAATTCTACATATTTTATATTGAATTCGCAGTTTTATTAAATTTATTATACATTTATAATTGTGTTAGTGTTATTCTTACTAGGAAAGTTGATGTTATTTAAAAAACATATCATAATAAGAAAAATAATTTCATATAGTTCGAACTATATAGTAAAATCTAAAAAAACATCTTATTTATAATAACATTATATATAACACAACTTATATAATATATAATTCTCATTATAAAATAAATTCTACATGTAATATAGTAAATAATTTCATTATAAATTATTAAGTTTATGTCTTTAATTACATTGTAAAAATATTTGCAATCCTATATTTATAAAATATATTAGTTCAAAACAAAAGGTTAATAAATCATTCATGAGTATATATACTATTTGATTATTTTGGTTTTAAATATTTTTATTTTATCAATTATTAGATTGGTACTAAGGCCTTGATTACATTTTTAAAAAAAATATTAGGAACATAATAATGTAATGTATCTTAAATTATGTGAATCTTATTAAAATAATGTAAATAATATTTTATAAGTTATATTTACTTTAATATGAGTATATAGTGGATTGTAAATAATTTTTTAACATGAGTATACATATATTTACTTATAAATGAGTTATTTATATTATATAATATTTTATTCATATAAATTTAATATTATGTATAAATAAGAAATATAATTTAGACATATAATTACATATTATATATAATATCCATACTACTTTATAATGAATAAATATTTTTTACATTATATAATATACTGTTATAATAAAATAATTTACGTATAAAAATAAATTCTTAGAGTTTTGATATAATGTATTTATTTTTTTATTTTTATATATTATTATTCAAAGTAATATTATTCAATAATATAATATTATATTTTTTATTTTAATTTTTTCTTCATTTTATTAAATCTAATTTATTCATCCCCGATATGCCAAACAAATTATTTTTTTCGTGAAATCTAGTAAATGAAAATATAGATATTCCTCCATATAAGGAAAGAATAATATAATATATGTATTATTTTTATTATACCTATTTTCGCATATAATTCACAAAATATTAAATTCATAATGATATTTTTATTATTTTTCTTTAATTTTTTATTAATGTATCAAAATTTCTTATATTATTTATACTCCAATATAATAAATTGTAAAAAAAGGTGTAATAATTTGATGTAAATTTGATTTAATTTACATGTCAATAATATGTTAAAAAAATAATTTATTTATTATACATATTTAAAAAAAATATAAATATACAATGTAATAAAACTGTAAAGGTCAAATATCAAGAAATAATAGATTTAATTAGGTTTATACATAATAACTGTTATCATATTATTTACTATATTATCAAAGAAGTGCCATACTATTTAATACATAAGTTACATAAACATTAATTTTTCATATAGATAATAATAAATAAATGTGCCTTCCCCTATAATAATAAAATATTAGAATATTAGAATATTATTTCTTTGTTACATATCATATAAAATCTTCACTAGTATATTTGTATAATAGAGTTGATATAGTTTCAAGATTAATGTATTATTGTATAAAATTAGTTATATGTTGCAAATTAATATATATATATATAATATATGTAGTTTTTATGACTACATATAACTCAATATATAAAATATTTCACACGTATATTTGTTACATATTAATGAATTTCCATATGAAATGCACAATAAATTGGATGGAAATAGGATAGAATATTATATTAATAGGAATGGATATTAATATATAATTAATACAACATATATTAAAAAATGAAAATAATAATGCTATTTTTTTTAATGTAGAATTTATTTTAAAAATATAAATTTTTTAAAATATAAATATACATATTTCATTTATCGTATAATTAAATTTTCCAATATTGAGATTCTATCTATAACAATAATTTAGGTGAATACATTTTTTATTCGTTTTTTTTATATTATATTTTCCTTTATAATATTAATAAAAATTTATTGGTAATAAATTTTTCCATATGTTTTCATGCATTTTATTATTATTATGTTCATCAGTAAAAATGATAAGTGAATACCTAATTATAAAATAATAAATTTAATTAAATAAATTTTATTAAAATATATTCAAATACAAATAAATTAAATATAATAGTATGAAACAAAAATATGCTCTAAATATATTTATATACTAAATTATATTACTAAAATTATGAAAACTTCTCAAAATATCTACGGAAAATTCTTAATACTGTTTAATAAATAAAAAACTGAACATTCCTTAAAATTAACACTTTTTGAGCTTCAAAATATATAGTTGAATGTTAAGTCATAATATATATGAGAGTTATCTTTTAATATTTATTAAAAAATTTCAATGTAATTTATCCTTAAATTTATGTAGTTTTATTATGAGTTTTTAGAATTTAGGCTAAATACTTTTTGAACATAAATATTTCTTATAATTTAGGCTACATTTTATTTGTTGATAGAATCATTAACAATGTTATTGTAATAAATTAAATATAATTCGGTATTCTAAATACATCATTGATTTTAATTAATATATAATACATTTATATATAATTCAGTATTGTTCTAAACATATTTATTATATATTATGATCATATTTTCAAATGCATAAATATAGGTAAAAAGGTTTATGGTTCATGTATTTTAATTCTTGTATTGAGTTATAGTATTTTAGGATATAGGATTTTTTATATAGCTTTACGATTTCATATTTGTATTTATTTTTAGGATTTATTTTATATCATTACGATTTTTTATTTTAGGATTTATAATTGGAATTATAATATCTGTTT